GCAGGGATAAGGGGTTGTTCTAGTCCCATGTGTGTGTATGCACATACTCGATGTGGGTAACGAAGGGAAGAGGGACAGCTGCCAGTTTACAGTGTAAGGTGTACTGTACATGATGTGTTTACACCTTCACTGTAATGAACTGAATGCTTGCCATTACTGTGAAATGGAATGGGGATTAGTGTTCAATGAATATATATGGAATCCTAATTGGTATTGTTGATGTATGGCACTAGTAGTAGTGCACTCATCAATAGCTCAACCAGCCACAGTACTCTGGATAGCAACAGTAATGGTAACATAGTGTCGTCTCTCTTTCAGTGGGTAGTTAATGGCTTTTATTGTGAATTCTTATTTTTTGTTACTGTTAGCTATTTCTCATTGTTTGACAATGGTAACTGTGTTATATTCTGTTACTGATAATAATGAAGATGGTGATGTAGTTTGTTTTGGTTTTCGGTGTTTGGCATTTGTGTTTTGGGAATATATATTCATCCTTTGTGATGATGAGAGTGTAAATTTTTTCTTTTATTTGTTTNTGCTTTGCTTAATAATAGTTTGAGTATATTGACGGCAGTATTCATTGTGTTTTTTGTTTTTTGTTTTTTAGCTGTTAGTGTGGAATGTGTGTGCTGAATGTTAATACCGTCTTTCCTCTTAAGGAGGGAGTGCTGTGAGGTAAGCTGAGTGGGTTCTTCTTTTTGGTACCTTATTATACTGCACTCTTCTCTGTTATTAAGCATTGGTACCTATGGGGTACTGTTGTGTGTGGATTCACTGATTGGGGTTTCTTAATAATGGTCTTTTTAAAAAGCATGAATGGTGTATTTGGTAGGTTAAAGAGAGGTGTGTTCCTATGAGGTATAATGGTTGTGATAAGGCTTTGTGGTGTTATATCTGTTTGTTTACCTTTTTACTTTTTGTGTTTCCTATTCCTTAGTGTATGATGCACTAGTATAACAATACTAATAATAATAATAATAATAATAATAATAATAATAATAATAATAACAATAATAACAGTGATGCCCTGTATGCTATTTGTGTGTATCTGCGTTGTTGGCTCTAATAAAGCCACACTTGTGCAGCAGACATAGCAGGGATAAGGGCTTGTTCTGGTCCCATGTGTGTACGCACATACTCGATGTGGGTAAGGAAGGGAAGAGGGACAGCTGCCATTCTACAGTGTACGGTGTACTGTACATGATGTGTTTATCCCTTTACTGTAATGAACTGAATGCTTGCCATTACTGTGAAATGGAAGGGGGATTATTGTTCAGTGAATATATATATGGAATACTAATTGGTATTGTTGATGTACGTCACTAGTAGTAGTGCACTCATTAATAGCCCAACCAGCCACAGTACTCTGGATAGCAACTGTAATGGTAACATAGTGTCGTCTCTCTTTCAGTGGGTAGTTAATGGCTTTTTTTGTGAATTCTTATTTTTTGTTACTGTTAGCTATTTCTCAATATTTGACTATGGTAACTGTGCTATATTCTGTGATTGATGATGATGATGATGGTGTACTTTGTGGTGGTTTTCTGTGTTTGGCATTTGTGTATGGGGAATATATATATTCATCCTCTGTGATGATGAGAGTGTATTATGGTTTCTGTTGTTGTTCTTTGCAAATATACACCTCATAGTTTTGTTTGCTGCCATAAGAGATTATTGTAATCGTTCTCCATTTATATTCCATTACTTTGTTGCTGAGGAGTATTTCTTTTTTTCCTATTGTTATTTAAGACGTCTTTTAATTATATCTTGGACTGAAGATCATGAGTTAATAATAGTTGACTGAACTGTTGATATTGTTCTGTTCTTAATAATTTATTTATTCTTCTTTTCATTTACATATTATTATTCTTTATAACTAGTGTTAATGTAACTGATGGGTTTTCATTATTTGTATTTTCCTCATTGTTTGGTAGATTAAGTAAACATGTGGATTTTCTATAATGATCTCTTTTATCCATTCCTATTCTCCTCTTAATTTTTTTCGTTATTATTCTTTGGTGATATTATTAGATTGTAAGTTTAGCTGGATGAGCAGCAAGACGAAGAGTAAGAGTAATATTTCCGCCAAGCAGCGGGTGCAGGACCACACAGATGCGAAACCCCCACAACCCACAAAAGAAATAACTACTACTACTACTACTACTACTACTACTACTAATACCAATACTAATATTACTAATACTATTACTAGTGTAAACAGTAGTTCGACTGTGAAGAGTATATCCACAGCAGCAGCAGCAGCAGGGAGGACGTTGGGTTGTTGTGGGGCTCTTCTTGTGATTGGCACTTATCACTCCGTGATGGCGGGTCTTGTCTTTCGCCGTGATCGCCTCGCGCTGCTCTTTTCCATCAAACACCACGATGGCTGTATTAACACAATTGCGGTGGGGGATAAATACATCGCCTCTGCGGGTACAGACGAGCGTGTGTTTCTCTTCACCAATAAGAATCATCAATCCCACCTTACACCCGCAGAGCGGGCCAAACTACGTGCTGCTGCTGTTGTTAATACTAACGATGGGAATGATCGTAGTGGTGTGTGTATGCGTGTGCGGCCGGCGGATCTTGGTAGTATTGCCCCACCGAGTGAAGTGCGGTGTTTGCTGCTCACGACGAATGGGCAGCAGTTGTTGTGTGGATGTACGGATGGTCAACTGATTGTGTACCGCACACGTGATTGGAGTGTGACGCTGGCTATTCCACTGCATGAGAAGTGTGTAAATGCCATTGCCGTACACCCAGGCAACAGCCAACAGAATAATAATAACAATAAGAATAATAACAATAATAATAACAATAATAAGAATAATAAGAATAAGAATAACAGCAGTAGTGGAGTGTTGGCTGTTACGGTTGGTTCGGATCGGCATGTGGCGGTTGTGGATCTCGCGCGTGGGCGGCTGCTCAGTAAATGGCGGTACAACACCCACACAAATAATACAGTTAATAATAATAATAATAATAATAATAATGAGAAGAGTGAGGAAGAAGAAGAGGAAAAGCGAACAGTGAAGCGAATGCGGTTGGAAGTGCGGGATGAGCCCCACGCGGTGCACTTCTCCCCCAGCGGGTGTTATTTTGCAATTCTCGCCCATCACTCCTTCACGGTGTACGAGACGGCCACCACCCGCCTGCTCACATTCTATCAGGAGGCA